GTTAATAGTGAATAAGTGTTCCCTATTCTAAAGTGTTACCAAAATAAGCACAAAACAAATGTTAAAAAATGTATCTTATTTATAGATTAATCATTCACAATACGATCATTTTCATTTTATGCCAACTTTAAAAGGAATAGGTCACCTAAAAATGAAAATTCTGTCCTTTGCTCACCCTCATGTCTACTCCAGTATGGTTTTCTTTTGACTGTACATCACAAAAGGAGACATTAGGCAGTATGTTCACATTTCTCTTTTCTTCATACAATGTGAATGGTAACCAGGATAACACATAAATGACTTGCCCAATATCTTCAAGTCTTCCAAAGCCACATGATATCAAGGTTCAGGAATGTTTGTGCTATTTGAATAAGCACATTTCACTTTTATGAGAACCAATGACATTTGGCATCATTGATGCCAAACCTGGTGTAGTCGCCCACCATTTTGTGGTATGTAAAAGAACAAAGTCAGCATTCTGCTAAATTTCACTTTTTTGTGTTACAAGGAAGAAAGACAATTATTCAGGTTTAGAACATGAGGGTGTGTAAATATTTGGTATAATATTTTCTTAAGACTTCTGCCTGTCATATGTAACTCGTTATGTATTGAATGCCTGGTTAATGTTGCAGGTTTTTGTTTGATAATAAGAGTCAGGAGCATGTGTACTACAGATGGAAACTCTACTCCATTCTACAGGTAAATGAGCCACTGCCTTCCATGGCTAGTCACAGTCTTACTCTCAAAAATAGATGTCACATTTTCATATCTATGTGAAAGGTGTTAAACATTTCCCCGTGTCTGTGTCCTTCTCTCAGGGAGAGAACCCAAATAAATGGAGGACGTCACCTTTCAGAATGTTTAGGGGCGGCTCTCTGTGGAAGCCACCTCTCCTTAACCCGTATCTCCATGGTGATGAGGAACCAGAAGAGAGCTCCTTCCCTTCTCAAGAGGAAGAGCCAAAGAAAGGGCACCTGAAGGCAGAGTAAACATGTGTTCCTCTCCAACAGAAATAGATGTTGTAGGCCGCCTATTTCTTTGAAATAAAATGCACACAGGCCTGTGATGTATGGGTGCCCACGTCCGTTTTGGTTCCGTAATGTATGTGCATATTGAATGTGTTTGTTGTGTCTCAGGCACAGAGAGAGGTTGGAGGCCTTGCTAAGAGGGCTGACTCCTTGCAGGGATGAGATTGGTGATGCAATGTTATTTTGCCTGGAGAGAGCAGAGGCTGCTGAGGAGGTCGTCTCCTGCATCACTGAATCACTGTCTATAGCACACACACCACTGCAGAAGAAGGTACCCACACATTTACAGTAGTACAAAGACAGAGTTGGAGTTCACAAATCACAACTGGAGTTTGATGCCTAGCCCTTCTTCACACCTTTGGAGATTTTGTCTGATGTCTTGTGTATATATTGCAGATTGCCAGACTTTACCTGATATCCGACATCCTCTACAACTCCTGTGCCAAAGTTACCAATGCGTCTTATTACCGCAAATTGTGAGTCAACATTTTTGTTTGATGGTTTGCTTGATTGCATTTGTTCTTTGTTTTTGTTTTTCCAGTGTCTTTGAAATTGTTTTCCAGTAATTTGTTTCAAACCTACAGCATTGATATGATTGTGGTTTTTGTATTCTGAAAAGAAAAAAAATTAAACGGAAATTCACCCTACGTAGTTTCAAAATCCATGTTATTATCTAATCGTGAATGATTCATCCGTGCATGTTCAAATGTTTTCAAAATAT